AAAATAGAGGTAATTAAAGAGGAAAGGATGTAGAGAGATACACAGAGACTCAATCTGGGAACTATTTTTGGTTTTGGGTTTGTTATCGATTTTGTTATCGATATTTATCGATTTTTTATTGATATTTATCGAATTTGTTATCGATATTTATCGATTTTGTTATCGATATTTATCGATTTTGTTATCGATATTTTTACAGATTTTCTAATCGATTTAGCTACCAATGGTATTATCGATGTCGCTATTGAAATTTTTATCGAATTTGTCATCGATTTTGGTATCGGTATTTTGATGGACGTTATAATCGATTTTGTTATCGATAGAGTATAATGATAAAAATGAAGATAATGTAAAAACAGAATAGCATGAATGTTATTAAAACGAACAGTGGTAGAGGAAGGGATCTAAATTGCTAGAAAAAAAGCGAAAAAATATAACCTTAAGCAAAAGCAGATGTGTGTATGTATAGATAGATAGGAACGTAAGTTTCACTTCTACCGTGTGGCCCAGGCGCACTTACTTTTTTTTTCTACTTTTTTAAGAAACAAAAATTTTTCTGCTAGTGAATCTGGTGGCATGATTTTAGTTAAATGTCATAAACTTGTTAAAAGTGAAGTGGTCGGCAACAACAACGAATGTCAATAAATTAAACTACCTTCTGCTTTCACAGCTTTACGTGTTCATTTCTCAAAATATTGCCCTCCGACTAAGCAAAAGTGCCATACTCTCAGCTAATATAGCCATTTTGCGGGACAAAAAGCAACCTACTGAAAATGATCCAATATTTATAAGAAGGCAAAATTGTTTAATAGAAAAGAAAACGGCATAAGTTTGTAATTTATCTCTGTTTTTATATTTAAGTAATACAAACATGACTTCTGATGTAAAGCTTAGCTACGTATAACGAAAGCTTCCTTTGTTAAACAATAATAATGCTTAGCTACGTATAAATAATCTTTATTAACCGAAAAAAATTCAATGGATTTACTAGTCTTTCTAATTGTAGTTTATGTATTTAAAAAAAAATTTAATTCTGGTTGAAACATTTTAGCCGTTTTGGACGAAAAAATCTAGCCGGTCGCCCTAAAAAGTTCTGGCAACACTGTTGCCAGCTACTCGTGGCGCAAACATCCATCTGATTGGGGCTATGTCGGGTTCATCAGTTGTAAGCCTGGATCGAAAACGATGTTCTTTTAATACTGATTCATGTAATCGCTGGATTGGTAACATTTTACAGTAGTGGCGTGATTCTGGAAACAACTGGAGTGACTTAGTTATTATTATGTGATAATGCGCCTTGTCATTCCAGGATTAAATCTGGCATTCGAATGGGCAGGCAAGTGTGCTTAATTTGGGACCATATTCGCCCATGCTGAACCCAGTAGAGACAATATGGTCTAAAATTAAGTCACTTGTTAAGTCAAGTATGGGTGTCCCCAACGTCCAAGGTCCAGGATTAAATGAGCAAAGGCTACAGTATTTGGAAAGAAAAATTGATGATGCCCAAGTAGCAATATGTATCAGGTGGATATTGTGCTCGAGTAACACAACATTGCTTCTCGTTCCATGCTGATGTATTGTCCTTGCGTGATATGTCGGCTGGTGAATAAAAATTTTGCCATACTGTGCTGATCTTGGTCGCTTAAATCATGTTTGTTTATATAGGCTCCGTGGATCTAATATTTGCAAGTGCTAGTAAAACTAAATTTTGTCCACTTCATACCCAACTTTTCGCTAAATTTAACTAACTAACTTTATCCCCAACTTTCGCTAAATCAAGGGAAAAAACGTTTATTAAAAACCAACAACGAATAACATATAAACAATTAGCAAACATAGTAAACATAAGTAAATCATTTCATATATAGTATAACAAAAACAATATTAGNCAAAAACGTTTATTAAAAACCAACAACGAATAACATATAAACAATTAGCAAACATGGTAAACATAAGTAAATCATTTCATATATAGTATAACAAAAACAATATTAGTTCAAATACTATTTTTGCTACATTTTAAATGATTTACATATGTTTACCATGTTTGCTAATTGTTTATAAGTGATTTGTTGTTGGTTGTTTATAAAGGTTTTGCCCTCGATGAAGCTAAGGATTTTTAGCGAAAAGTTGGGGATGAAGTGGAGAAAATTTAGTTTTACTTACACTTGCAAATATTAAATCCACGAAGCCTATAAAAACAAATAAAAACTTTGTCCTACCTACCCATGATAAAAACATAGCAAGGTAGAACCGTTCTCTCAATTTGTCGGCCATGATTTTTTTTTGAAGTTTGCCAACATTTTAAAATCATATAAAAGTGAAAATAAAAAATTGAAATTGTTCGAAATTGTTGTTGCTTGAGATTGAAAATGAAAATGTGTGTGTGAGTTTGTGAGTAAATTTAAAAATTAAATTGTTTGGAAACGTCAAGAATTTTAAAAGAGACTCTCAGCGGTTCTACCTTACTATAGGGCTATTCGCGATCCGGTGCAAATGGCCTAGCATCATTGCATTGCAAATTTGTATTGCAAATTATTTGCAATACACAAACAAAATACACGCATTTGCATTTGTCATTGCTTGACAAATTTGCAATACCGAAAATCCATAGCATAAAAATGCTATGCATTGCAACTCTGGTTGACATTTCTATCAGCTGATTAAATTCATAAACAAAACCAAAGCTGATGCACAAAAAAGGAAACGTAAAGTAAAATGGAAACTAAAATTATTAAAAAGAAAATAAAAAGAGAAAAACCCAACAAAAAATGGACTTTGGAAGAAGTTAACACCATACTGAACTATTTGATGGATTCCCAAGAAATTGAGGTAAGCAAAATATTTGCGGGATTTGCAGTGGTCAGATCATTACGGAATTGGCTTGTGTGGAGTGCCAGTCGCAGGTGCCACTACTTAAATAGAATCAATAATTACCACTTCCCATTTTCTAGAAACCTACAGCACAAATTTTTTATAAAAAACTCATCGAAAAGACTGGTATCAACGCTACATGGGAGCTAATTCGATGGAAGGTTCGACATTTGAAGTCGACTTACAAGGACGCTTCGGATTGGCGCAGCTCAACCGGTGCTGGACTCCTGGAAATCGACGCTGGGGCTAATAGTGTTGAAGGTAAAATATTTTTAACAGATTCATATTTATGTACATTAAAAAAATCTACATTTCAGGGAAAGTATTACAAATTTGCCCACACTATCATAAGCTTCATCAAATTTTTGGCGCAAAATGTACGCAGAATGCGTATGAAGTTATCGATTCAGGTGAAATAAACGAAGCTGATGTGGAAGTATCTGAAAGCATAGATTCAGATTGTATTATATACGAGTGTATTCAAGAAACAGGTGAGGAAGCTGAAATATGTGTTGCAGCTGAGCCAGTCGCGGGAACTTCATGTGGCCAAAGCTCGCAAGCGGTGATTCCAAAGAAGGCAAGAGACTTCGCCGAAAAATTAAAAAAAAATTCCCCAAAGACCCCTGCTGCTCATTTGGCTGCTTTTCAAGCAGAGCGAACTGCAATGTTCAAAATGAAGATAGAGTGGGAAAAAGAAAGGCAAGACAAGGAAATAGAAATTCACGAGAGAGAAACAAAACTAAAAGAAGATCAGTTGAAAGCAGAAATAGAATTTAAAAACCGCGAGATGGATTTGAAGGCTCACCAAATCGAAGAGGAGTTAAAAATGAAAAAACTTGAATTAGAAAAGGATGAGCGCATAAAAATGTTTGAAATTGAAATGAAGTATAAACATGCGAGTACACAATAAATGTTTTTGGACTAATNGGATGAGCGCATAAAAATGTTTGAAATTGAAATGAAGTATAAACATGCGAGTACACAATAAATGTTTTTGGACTAATGTACATAAGTATACATATACATGTATATAAGCACATGAATGTACATATCTGTTCGTATGGAATAGTAGTTTATATCGAAAGGCTGGCTATAGTATAAGACAGCATTCGTAGCATATGATTGCGAATGACTCACTGGCGCCGAGCCGTTGAAGAGCTTTTGGCAAATAAACGTGCAAGAAATAGTTCCAATGCTAGCAAGTCAATACTCTTATTAATTCTCGTCGAAAAATTCCTTGTTTTTTAAAGAATAAAGAGAATACCGCATTATACTATAGCCAGCTTCCCGACATAAGCTACTTTTTCATACGAACACAGATATATTTACATAGCACCAACAAGCATTTATGTCTTTTATGTGTATTGATCCTCAGTTTTTTCATTCGGTTTTTTTTCTTTTTTATATACATACATAAATGTACAAAATGAATTTCGAGATTTTTGTTTGGATAAATGTACTTTTTAATTACACATAAGTGAATATATGGCTTCTCTTTTCATTTCTCCACCAATGTTTGTTGAAGCGTCAGCCACATTTTCACAAAATTCTGCTGAATTTTGATCAAAAGTGGATATCAAGTAGCTTTCCTTATCATTAATTAAAATATTATGCAGAACGCAGCAGACAAGAAACCAATCGCAGCATAGTTTATGATTGTTTTTGTTGGCTAGGCGCAATCTTAACTGTTTAAGGCTACCAAATCTTTCTTTAAGGACACCAAAACAATGCTCAACTCTTACGCGATACTTGCTGTGACGCAAGTTAAAAGCAATGCGATGGTTTCTGTCGAGCTGCCTAGCATTGCTTCTATATGGGGTAATTAAAGTTTCAGATATTGGATACGCTGAATCTCCTGCTATCCATTGTTGTGACGAAAAGTATCGTTCCTTTCTTTTGAAAAGCGAGGAGTTTCGATATATTCGAGCATCGTGCCAGCTACCAGGATGCCCAACTACAACATGTCTAATCTTTAAAGTGTAATCGCAAACAACTTGTGCTTTTAGGGAATATATATGATTGCGCGAAAAATATGACGTATGATCTTCAATTGGCGATTCTGCTAGCTTAATTTCCGTACCGTCAATATATCCAATGCAATACGGTAGCTCATCAAAGGTAGCTGAGACAATTTGTAAACGCTCACTCTTATCAGGCCAACAAATATATTGCGTTTGTAAATTCAAAAACGTTTTGAAAATTCTCTTGGTAATTTTCGATATAGTTCCTCCATCCCCTATTCCGAATAAGGTCCCAATTTTTCTAAATGCTGCACTTTCCCCTGACGAGCCTAAACGGAAAAGCACAATCGCTAGTTGCAGTTCAATCGAAAATTGTTTAGAAGAATGTGGCTTGTTAAACTCTTCGTCATTTTTAATTAAATCCACCAGCATTGAAAATTCCCTCGCATCTCTTAGAGTTTTCCTTTGCATTTTTAAGTTATTCCTTTGATAATTTTCTTCTATTAAGACGATCGCACAAGCTACGGTACCCATTTTAGGTTAGGTTAGGTTAGGTTATCCAGGCTGCCCTCATCCGTACAGGAAAAGGCCTCCATGGGCCCATTGCGATACCATATTTGAGACTCGTAGCGTCCCTCCTCCTACCTCAGAAATTGAACCAATTTGTAGCTCTGATGAAGCGCACAAAATCGTAGATACTGGCCGAATCCAGTTCAGCCAGACACTCGAAAAATAGCGAAGGAGTGAGCGTCGACGGGCTCTTGCCAAAGCGGAACAGTGGCACAGGTAATACTCCACGCTCTCGATTTCCTCCTCTTCGCGGCAGCTACGACAGTAATCGTTTGGCTGCAAACCCATCCTGGCAGCGTGGGTTCCCATAAGGCAGTGCCCGGTGAGAATTCCAATAGCATGGCGGAGCATTGGCCGCTCCAAACGGAAGAGACCTAGGCCAAATGTGTCTCGCTATCCTGCACGTGGGCTCCGCGGACCATCTTACATTTGCCCGTTCGATAAAGTTACTCTGCAGCCAAAGTTTACAGGATGATAGCGGAATACCCGCATCACGAGCGGTACTGATCGCAGGCAGTAGGGTTCCTTTCCCAGCCAGCTCGTCCGCAACACAGTTGCCCGGCATGTCCCTATGACCTAGTACCCATACAACTTGAGTAAAGTGACTCCTTGCCAGCTCATTTAGAGTACGTCTACATTCCATGACAATCTTCGTTGTAGATTTGTCACAATTAAGTGCTTTGATAGCTGCCTGGCTATCAGAAAAGATAGTTACTGCACGTAGATTAGTAGGAGAATCGATCAGCCATCTAGCAGCTTCGTAAATTGCTGTTAGTTCGGCCTGAAACACGCTACAGTAATCTGGCAGACTGAAANAATTGCTGTTAGTTCGGCCTGAAACACGCTACAGTAATCTGGCAGACTGAAACTGAGGGTGAGTGAGAGTTCTTGCGAATATATCCCACTTCCTACCTTCAGTACTAGGTTGGAGCCATCGGTGTAGATGGCTGCTGAGTCAGAGTAAGAGATCAGAATTGAATACTCCTCCCACTCACCTCTTGAGGGGATCCTTGTTTGGAAGT